TTTCTTTCTTCTTTTATTTTTAATTTTTGTTCCTTTCGTTTCACCATTGTATATTAATTTTTAATATAATCGTTCAACGAAATTTCAAGGAAGATCGACTTTCAATGAAAAATTTATATAAAAATCGAGTCGTCAATTATACATTTATACATTTCATTCTGAAAAGAAACATTCCATACTTGTCCACAATCAAGCTATCCATTTATTCCACTAATTCGACGAATTTCTTGAGAAAACCAGAAACCATTGATTAGTTATATCTTCATACTCTTCAGATGAATTTTGCAACATTAAATAGAGTCGAATTTGAACTGAATATATTACAAATTTACCCGAGTAGTTCCACGTATTAAAAATCCACGAATTCCATGAGTAGTTCGTTGAAAATTTATAAAAATTCAGTCAACAATAACGACCTGTAGCTATATTACGATTTTTTTAGAAACAACTACTCTGTTCTAAGATTCCCAGAAAATGCACAATACAATCGGCGAAGAATACTCGACGAAATGATTTCGCGAATCAACGCGAACTCGATTACACGCGTGGAGTGGAGCTGGATGAAGCAGTTTGCCCTTATTCCGTGCCGAGTGAAATCCAAAGAGCGTGGAGATTCATGGTCCTTAAATGGCGTTTGATCCGCATCGCGGCTTGTATAGCAGTTCACCGCGGTGTCTAATTGCGATGAAAGCGATGATGAAGTGGACACACACTGGCTGGGTGAATTACGAGCAACCGGGTCGAGGCAACGCGTCCGAGAAACCGCGGCCTCGGAATGTTTCGAATCGTCGAACTGGATGGGATCGCGGAAGTAAGACGAAAAACTTTCAGTACTTTTTTCATGGATTTTCTCGATGCTGCTGAAACAGCCCACTGCTGTTGCAGGAAATTTTCAAATTTCAATAGTCCTTTGTAATTTGTAATTTTCCACAGAAAATTTTGGATCCTTGCACCATTAATTCCTCGGCTTTTCGAGACTTCATTATCTGGCTGGATCTGAATAATGCAGTTGTGTATTCGCGCGATATACATGGAAGATAAAAATAGGATGGTGCGACAATCATGCGAATTGAAGACGAGGCTGTTATTTGTAAAACAAGCGTAACAATTGGACGATGGTACGAACTAGGACAGAGAGCCTGTTCGACTTCGCTGTTGCGTAAATCATCGAACTACAACATAACGGAACAAACGTGGATCGAAGAACGATTAAATCCCAAATGAAATGGGTCGCCGGACTGTGGAACAACTGCACAGTTTAAATAACGAAACGATCGAACTGAACTAGGGGAACACTGAATTAATTAACAATGTCTGGACGATTCATTAAAAATTTGTATTGTATTGTATTGATACGAAAAGTGTGAATTAATAAAATATTCGTATAATGAAATTTCTTTTTTTTGTTGTTGTTGTTGTTGATTATCGCAGTATAAGTATTATCACAAATCGTAAGTTTATATTTAATGTAATTTTATTTTAATCTGTTTGTCTCATCTAGACTATCAGAATGATAATGAGTCCTTTAAGAAAATTTTCTGGGGATTTTTTTTAATTTCTATATTTTTACTGAAATTGTTTTAAATTGATCTTCATGTTAATTTATTTTATATCGAAACTGAAAGAAGATTTCATATAATAATTAAACAATCACTGTCAATCGTATCTAATCTTTGATTAGAACATGATATAATGACATAATCGCAATATAATAAACTATGGTAAAGTAATTGGTAATATAAACTAAATGCATAAGAGATTCTTAATTCTAAATAATAACAACGATTCAATGATAAAATTTTACAAGTAACACTGAAGTAAATAAAGAATTTTTTTTAAGCGAACGAATCAAAAATTCACACGTACTAACAAATTTATCCTGAATACACATTGTATCATATTCTCTTGACAAAGATGCTTTTCAGATAATTCAGGAAAGCTGCTTAAATAATTAACTGCAACTCAATTAAGATCGACAAAATAGGACCTAATCATCGAAAGATCAGGATTCATTCTGTAAACTTTTTTACGAAAGCAAATAAACCGCAGATTCGCTCTAATAGATCACAAAACAACGTGATGAGAAATAAATGGGAAATAAGCGAAACAAATACGCGTAATTAAACGAGATGAATCAGAGAGTAGAAAATCATAGAGTAAATAAGTTACACAGTGCCTATATGTAAAAATGTTCTACATGATCACTGTATTAGAATAATACCTATACTTACTGAGCAACTGTCATTAATCAAATACGTAGGTATATCAGACAACTGCTGGATAAGTTGGATAAACAATGTGACTAGTCTCAAATTAATAAAATTAATCAGCCTCTATAAATGAATGAATGAAAATAATTGTATATAAACTTCACAAGAGCAATTTAAAAATTAAAAGATAAGAGTGAGTAACACAGATAATAATCTTGGAACACGTACGCGTGATATTATAATTTTGTATTATGCGTAATTATGAATTATATTTCGTAATTATAATTGCAAAAGAGTTAAAGGAAAAGATTCTTGCTCAACCTGATAAGCAATAGTCACGGAAACGTGTCCATTCATAATAGAGTGCTCTTTATGAAATTCTAATATTTCTATCTACTAAATATAGAATAATATTATAAGAAATATACACCGATATAACCATATTTTATATAACACATAATATATGTGTAAAAGAAATTCAAATCAATCTATTATCGTCATTACATCATTTTATAAATATTGATCATTTTACTTATAAAATAACGTACGTCATATATAAACAATATTCCTTACATATATATAATATAATATATATATATAAGAATTAAATTATATTTCTTTTTACACGTAGGTACATATCCTTCGTCTGAAATAATAAAAAATCTTGAATATTTTCTCCACAATGGTACGTCAAATATATTTAATATGAATTAAATATATATTTCGCAGAGATCATAAAAATATGACACAAACATGTTCTATAATTTTATTCAAGCGCATAAATTAATGAGCTCGACGTACATGTTGTTGTAAAAATATTGAGAAGAAGAAAATAACAAAAAGAACTTTAATTCAGCGAACGAGCTGAAGTAAATATATATACATACACGTACATACGTACGTAGTTACATCTCAATCGTTCGATAAACCAACGAACCACATCTGGCGTTTCATTTGACGGATCAGAGGAGTTATGAGAGAAGAAAACCTCGATTCCGATCTGACGATTTTCCTCGCCGGGTGCAGGTCGTTCGTTCCTTCTTTCATTAAGATGTAATCATTGGTTTTAACGAAGCCGAATGTTCCTTTAACGACTCGTTCCGTGGCCGGCATTAGCACGAACGATGCAAGGAAATCGTCTTCATTACCATCGGTGAAACACTGTGGCAATCCGAGAGTTCAACACTCTTTTTTTCTTTTTTCTTTTTCATCGATATATACGAGCGCAATTTTCATCGGTTTATGCTCTCTGGACGTTGTGTTTCGAAGTCATTTGTTAGCGACGATGCTATCAATGATGCTCGAACAAATACTTCAATAATAATGAAACTCCAAAACGTTATATAATATTTAATGTCACGATATATATATATATATATATATATATATATATATATATATATATATAT